GCATTGGGAGACAGAGCTGTTGCTATGTCCTGGAAAAACGAATATCAGAAAAGTTATTCCAGTTGTTGGTAAATATTAACTGTCACAATGAAATTAAACTATTCCAACATTAGCACCATCACCAAATGAATGTAAAAAGCCACAAAGGTCAGTCAAGCAATAAAAAATGAGAAACAAAGTAGAATTGTATTGGTGGAAATATCTGAAGGAACAAATCTATGCCACAAAGTCAGAGCTTCTCGAAAGCAATTTGCTACTTTTTTCTCCAGAAAAAATACATAAGCTAAAAAAAAAAAAAAAAGGTACAGATCTGTCTCTGGAAAATAAACACTGCTCACGTATTACCACAATCTCTGCTTTTCCACAGAAAACCAGGCTTGAGTTAACTTTCACAAAACATTGCACTTCCTTTGTTGCTCATTTTTGCAATTTGGCAAGATGTTCAGCAAAGTCTGGGTCCCATCCCCATTCTCCAGCTGCAGCTCCTGTTGGGATCAACGGCAACGTTGAGAGGTGGGAGGAAGCCTGGGTCCAGGTTTCGGCAGAGACAGGGCTGCCGTACGTGGGGTTGGCTGCAAATCAGCGAGATGAAGCCTTCACATCCTACAGTGCTCCCGCCTCTTGCAGCCTCTGTTGGCGTGACAGCTGAAGAGGTGCTAGAGCCGAAACCAATGCTCGCTTTGAAATCACGGAGACTTCAAACTCAGCTGGGGCAAACCAGTACACCATGGGGCTGCTTCAAATACTGCGGCTGCTCACAGCCACCTGAGGACTTGGTGTTAGGTAGAGCCCACTGGGAAACCTGCTTTCTGTCCACCCCTTCCTCCTGAGCTGGCTATGAGAAAGGATTTCTGGAGAAAAGGGACTGGCTATGACCATAGAGAAAGTCACAGAAAGTGGGCAGCTGCCACCAGTGGCAGGTTGCTCTCGGCATTATCAGTTTTACCAGGGGAAGCTGAGCATGCTGCTGCTGCTGCTGCCGCTCCCGGTGCGGAGGACAGGAGCTGGGAGGCAAAAATAACCAAAATCACTGGGCTTGCTCCTTCTGCCAGCCGCTGACAGCAGGGGCCACGAGCCCAGCTCTGGGATGGCACAGCTCTGCTCTGCCCATGTGGCCGCAGGGTTTGGAGGCAGTACTGTGTGAAAGCTGTTACACAAAGGCAAGTCAGCTTTTATACAGCGATCTGCGCAGGTGGTTTCATCTGCAAAAACCTCATCTGCTTCCATCTGCCTTTGCCAAGACAGCTTTACGCCAGGAGTCCAACAAAATGAATCAGATCACTGAGTATACCTTCTGGTCTAATTTCAAGAATATATGCCAGTACCTGGGGCTTGCATCAAAACTGAGTTGTGTGAAACAGAAATTTACACTGCAGGAGAAAGTGTGAGCCAAACAACTATTCTGGACTGTATCAAGCCAAAAATTTCCCCTCTGGGACAAAAACACGGAGCCACAAAAAGCACAGAAGGGGCAAAACCAAAATGCAGTAAAGGATGCTGCAGGAGTGCCGCCTTTCACTGTGGAAGACACCAGAGGGGGAGACTGTCCCCTGCCTTTCCGCCCCCATGCCTTGTGCTCCTTTTGGGGGGGAAGGGAGCAGGGTAGTATCACAGAGATACTCTGGTGGCTCGGGTACAGGTAGGGAGTGAGGTCAGAAATTTGGGGGAGGTATAAGGGAGAATTTTTCCTCTGTGAAGGACCACAGGGCTCCGCCAGCAATTTTGGAGCAAGCTGCGGTGCTGCCTGGTGGGGATGGCAGAGCTCAGCCCCGACAAAGCGCTGCACTGCGGGGCAGGCTGGAGCTCAAGGTGCAGGCGAAGCCTTTGCCTCTGGTGTTGGCCCACAGCCCTGCAGACTCAGATGTTCCTATGGTTTGTGCCATCCTGTTTAGTGTCTGTTGCACAACCAGAAAGAAGAAATAGTGCTTCGAACATGAAGCACCAACCAAGATCTGACAATCTTGATGCTAGCACCAGATATGATCGCGTGCATTGCCACCTATCTCCCAGTATCTGCCGTGTGTGCTGCGCAACCACAGGCTGGCAGGACAGCCTGCATCACCATCTATCTCCAGCATCTGCTGGGTCTGTAACCAGCACATAGCAGCCTGCAGCTGAACACAGGCACTTGAGCTTCATTTTTGGCTCTCCCAGATCACAGTGCAGCAGCCCCAGCAGACGGGGATGGGGAAGTGCTAAAGGGCAGCCCTGGGCACCCACTGTTAGACTCGATATTCCTTCGTTTCTGGTCCAAATCCCTTTAACTTGCCTTTAACCTCTGCAAAGTGCTTCCACTGAGCCTCAGGTGTGTGTGCCCACTGTGTCATTATGGCTGCATGTTTCCTAGTAGAGATTTTCCTGTCCAGCAGTTGATGCAATGCCAGTGTTTGTTCCATGAATTTGCACACCTATTAATCAAATGTCATTTCTTACCGCACATATTCCAATTTGTCTTCTATAGCATGTGATTACAAGTGAAAAATCACATGTTATTCTTTCCCAGACCATTTCGCTTTCCTGAAAGCACTATACCTTTTCTGCAGTTACCAGCTTTTACTCACATTGCTCCAGGAGCAATTCTGTTCCCACAGAAATGAAAGGAAACTTCGCCGCTGACGTCGAAGGAATCCAAAACCAGCCCTCGGAAACGTGCGCTGTATAAATTTTGAAATGACTACATAATGAAAAATGTTCTCCTGACACTGAGAAATGTATCCAGCGAGTGATGAGGTCCGCACACAGGCAGACCCGAGGAGCCGGGAGCTGCTCTGAGGGTGCTGGGGGTGCATCGGCTGTGGCTCTCCCCCCTGCAGGGTGGGCACTGAGCCCTCCCGCCAGAACGAGAGGGTTTGAGCTCTCCTGGCTCATGTCCTTCAGGTCTCCACACACAACCCCATTAGTCAATCTCTGGAGCACTCAGCTTTCCCCAGCCATCACAGCCTCCCAGAGGACAGTGTCAAAGCTTCTGCTGGTTTTAAAAAAAGCATAGTTGCTTCCAGTACCACTCCTCCCTTCTGAAAATGTATATTGCATTTGGGATTAAGTAAAATCGGAAAAGGTTGGCACTGAAAAGACAAACTGGTTGCAGTTACTCAGATTAAAACTTCCACTGCACTTGATTAAATGTCAGCACGACAGATCGCTGTGGGGTCTGAAGACATGAGATAGCGCGTCAGAAGGAAATAGTTTTTTCACTTTGTGATTCCCACAGTCCATTCACATAAGTTTCTTTTTATTTGAAACACAGAAGACAGATAAAATAAGACCCTGTTGTGGAGCCAATTAATAAATATGAGAGAAACAGATTACGGTCAAGCTGCCAGGAGACATTTAGCCTCTATTTGATAGTAAGTTTGGTTTTCATATAAGATATGTTGGCACGTCAGTAGCATCACAGCAACTAAAGGTTCCTCTTATGATCACTGGCAATAATAAAGAGACTCTTTCCAGCAGTTTCTACTGTCAGCCAGCATGTAAATTTCTGGAGGCTTACAGAACAAAGAAAATAATTGAGTTTGCACAGCCTTTACTAAAGAATTGCAAGCAGCTATTGCTTGTACTGAGATCACGGCTGGCCAAAACAAAAGCAAAGTTTGCACAGGACCAGAGCAGCAAGTACTTCGGACTTCAGTGTTTGAACTGTTAGCAGCCCAGGCTACGTAAGAGCTGAGACTTCATCAGTTAAGCCCTTTTGAAAGTGCAGTCTATAAGTCTATACTGCTGTAGCTGGCTGCCGGACTGAAATGGAGCAAATGCTGCCGTACACAAGCCGTTTGCTCTGCTACAGTAGCTCCATCTCAGTCTGGGAGAGCAGCAGGATGATGTGAGAGAAGCAGAAAGACGACAATAAAAAGAAAAGGAACCAAGGCAGGATTAATTAGACAGCACACACCACACACCATTCTTTTTTCTTTTTTCTTTTTTTACAGTTTCCTTTGTGCACCATTTCCCCACTGTCTGTATGGGCAAAGGACAGAAGACCTTAGAACTGAGACAGCCTCAGTGGTGTGACCAGGAGGGCAGTTTCCCATCCCTTTTTCAGCATCAGAAACAGAAAATGACGAGACAAGAAAATTACAAGTTCTTGAGTTCCCAGAAAGTTGCTGAAGTCATAGCTTGGTCATAAACCAGTATAAATAAAAAGCATTAGTAAGCAACTTTCGGTGTAGCTGTGTACAGACAACAGCTACCAGACCAATAAATGTTCCAGAACAGTGAGAAGAAAATACTGCAACGCATGTATGCCCTTTAAAGAAAAATATTAGTGAGATGATCTCACAGTACAAAAAGAAAGAAGTCAAAGGAGGAGAAAAAACTATAAGCAGGCCCACAGAGGTTTGAAACAAGGCACGCACAGGAAAGATGCCTGTATGCTGAGTTGTAAGCAAGGGAGAAAACAGCACTTTAAAGAGCATTTTGCATTTATTCTGGTCTGTGTCTTCCCTTCTTGAATTGTTTCTCCCTCTGGTCTCCCAGCACTGGGAACTCATGTGTTCCCAGCAGAGAGCTGAGCAGTTGTTCCATCCCCCAAGTGAGACCCAAGAAGCCAAGATGCTGCAGTGCAGGTGAGAGGGCTACGTGATCCTCCTGGGACGGGCTTCCTCATGTTTATAAGTCTGCCCCAGACCACCACACTTCCAGAATATTTCAGTTTCCTCCTCTTGCACCCTCTGTTGAACAGAGCTGTATCTAATGCTGGAGGTGGGGATACATTCAGGAGCCACAGGGACCCACTGCAGAAGTATGAGAAGAAAGGAGCATCTCATCTCAGGAAACAAAAGATGTCAGGGATGCAGGGAGAAAAAGGACAGACCTGCTGAGTGGCTGGATGCCAGATATGCTATCTGATTATGCTCCGATCCCCTGAGGCTGAGCCTACTGAAGCATCTGGGAATTATTTGTGCAGATTGACTGTAATTGGCACAGTTACGGGAAGCTGTTATTAGGGAAAATGCGCATGTTGTTGTGCATACACTTAATCATCGGAACCTACAAAAAGTGGAAGTAAAGTCTTGCTCCTTTAATCATATGATCAGAGTTTCCAAGCATTCTTCATCATGATGATAAAATAGACATCTGTGTCTATTGAAGCGCTGACTCCTGCATAGTAGTTCATGAATTCTTCTGTTGTGACCTGAGACAGAAGGATTTAAAATAGTAAAATGAATCTTTATTTTCTTAATGGTATGGTAAGTCAGAACCACAGATTGAGAAGAACTCCAAATGAAAATTAACACCTGCTATTTCACTTTGTTGCCAGTGAACAGGAATCCCATATGAAGACTGAAGACACTGAAAAATTGCGCAAGTTCACTTCTTTGCTAGAAATAAGAGCTCTTGTCCTCCAGGAACACTTGGATAGAATTGAAACATACAGAGTTAAACTAACCTTACCAGGAACCGAAGTTAAAATCAGTGCTGCTCAAGAAGACAAATGTTTTAATGCATTTTTTTCCATGGATGCTATAATCTGTTTCTTTTCATTATTATTAATAAAAGTGGATGGGGTGTCTGGTGCAACCCAGAGCCAGCTAGGAGTTTTATACCCATTCACTAGAGAGAAAATATCATTGCTCTAAACAGGCTCCACTTAAAGAAGCAAACATTCTTTCAAATACCTAAGTGTTTCTAATATCTTTCATAGGCATTTTGAGGCTGAATCGGTTTTTGAATGACCGTTAAAAAAAAATAATCAGATTAGCAGATACAAGCAGTACATGTCTCTTGTGATGCCTTAACTCTTGAACAGTACAGGTCATTCTTTGAATAAACACCACATAGAAAAATAAATGCATTGTGCACATTGTGTCACTAAGTAAAAAGTGACAATGAGGGGAAGTGAACCCTGTAGCCTGTCCTACCATCAGGAGCTGATTACAAGTGTCGCTGACCCTGCCTGTTTCAGAGGCACACGGCAAGATCAGGGTGAAGAGGATCTTTCTAGCAGATGCTGAGCCTTGAGGCATTTCTGCTGAAAAGAGTTTAGGTCTTCGGCTCATACCAGTGTCATTAGTGACGTATGATTCAGGCACAGGAAATTCACAGTCAGTTCTCAGAAGAAGCTGCAATTGGGTGGGCTAAGGTTGGGATTGCTGAACAAGAGGTGGGTGCTCAGAGTGACTTTTCTATAAGCTCAGATACTGCAGTGCTTATGAGGTACAAGGCACTGAACATGTAAAGGATTGTTTCTGGGACTCATTTAATTTTTTGTGTATGACCTCAACACAAAAAGCAGGAACATTTTGCTTGAGGTTTGCTAGATGTCACCACTGCTGCAGAGAAGGAAGGGGACAACTCACGTGACTGGTACGTCTGAGGATGGCGCAACAGAAAAAGGGGTGAAACTCAGCTCTACCAAGCACAAAGTCATGCCCAAGGGAAATAAAAAACATTATCTCTCTACAAACTGAGAGCCTGCCCGTTGGAAACAAAGCAAGCGGAGGACTTGGGTGTAGTAGTCAGCCATTAGGCAGGTAGGAGTTACAAGTGTAGTACAGCCATGAAAACTCAGGTGCAACCTCAGAAGTGCAAAGTGTTGAAGACATTCCACAAAGCGCTGATGAAAGCATATCTAGTTTGTTGTTATTAACAGCTTGGACTGATACTACCACCATGTGAACAGTGGAGATCCACAATTGCTCCGAGTCGGTCAGACATGTGTAACTTCAGACCAAGGAAGTTTGCAGACACCTAGCAATGGGAAACATAGCATGCCTGACTTGGAAATGGTTAAAAAGTGGATGCGTAAGAATTCCATCACAGAGGGTTTCCACCTGCACTGGAGAGTCAAGGTGGAAGGCAGGTAAGGCTCCCAGCCCTGCCCCAGCTAGTGGTTCCTCAGGGCCCATGGCTGGTGGCGGCTCCCCCTAACCTCTCACTCCCTCCATCTCTCTGTGGATAAATCTATCTCTATCATGGAGTGATTTCCAAGTCAAATGTCTCTGTAATTACACATGCTGGAGAGTGCTAACTGTAAAATATGTCATGTAGTAGGGAATCTGCTTTTGAGTTGGATCCTGGTATTTATTCTCCTAAAAAGTGAAAAATCCTCCAATTTATGTGGCTCTTGAAAATCAGAAATTGTGTTGGTTAGTCTGAAGATATACTTAGAGTAACCTATGAAAGTACAGCATTAAGGCTACAAGCCTCTAAATGACATCTCACATCTACCCTTGCACCTCCTGCAGAGCCCCTTTGCCTCCAAATGTGTACGCAAGCTGGACCAACAGTCCTACGCAGAGGTTATGCATCCATTTTACTGTCTGCCATAAATGTGACACAAATGCATGTTTGGTACTGCGATCGCTCTCACATTTAATAATTTAAGTCAAATGCTGACTCACATGGTGACTTCATGGCTTGACATTAGGTGTTTCACTTACCTTCCCATCTTTGTCATAGGGTGAGTCAAAATTATCCAGGAAGGCCCTAAAAACTTGATCTTCTGTCCAGTCTCCATTTTGGTATTTGGGATGATGCTTTGCATTATACACCCCCCGTAAGTCTTCAATTGTTATGACACCATCTCCAGTCTTATCTAACTTCCGAAATGCCTGCATGATAATCTCTTTTCTTGCATTCGACATGGGAGGCTATAAAGAAATATTAACAGAATCGTTTTATTTCTGCCAACTACTTGCCCAGTTCTAAATTTAAGTAACCACTGTCGTTAATAGTCAACCTATTTCAAGGCACTTGGGACAACAAACTGCTGATAGTCTACACTGTCCAAGACCTAGTAAGGGCAACAGATCACCAAAAAAGCAGAGTGATCAAGACTATTAGGTATCAATACAATAGTAAATGGACAATAAGACAGAAAATGCTACCTAGAACACTTTTCTATTCTACTAATTTTAAATATTTCTAACAAGAAATCGCTAATTACTCTAAGCACTAACTGTTTTCTTTCTTAGTTAGTTTAGACTTCAGCAGAGCAAAGAGGCTGCATCCAAAATCAGTCACACTGTGGCTCATTAGAGAAAGCTGCCACTGGATTAGTTCATGCTATAAGGAGATGCATCACAAAGTGACAGACAAAGAAGTGAGATCAATGGGCTCAACCACATAGGTACCTGGAGTGCAATATAGGAATCTGGGTACCTAAATAAAGGCAGCAATTCATTAAAAAAAAATCACAACCATTTATTTGCAACTCTTCTATTCTATTCTATTCTATTCTATTCTATTCTATTCTATTCTATTCTATTCTATTCTATTCTATTCTGTTCAGTTCTGTTCTGTTCAGTTCTGTTCTGTTCTGTTCTGTTCTATTTATGCGGAGCCTTATGCCTTGCCAATAAATTGCAGACATGTTGGCTTCTGAGCTTTCTCATCCACTGAGGCGATAGGTTTAGGGTGATTTTCCCCTTTAGCATGTTTAGATGGAAATAGAATATTTTAACTTCTCAAGAGTTACTGACTTTTTTTTGCTAATTTCTAAGGGGAACAACAGTGCTATGTTTCATGTTCAGCTAATGACAAATCAAGGTTTTTTTCTCCATTTAATGTAGTAATAACATAATTTCCAGACTTACTCTCAGTGTAACAAGAAACTCATCAAAATCAATTGTACCACTGCCATCTTTATCAAATATCCGGAAAATCTCTTGTGCTTCTTCCTTGTCTATCATCATAGCATAATCATTTAATCCTTTTACAAACTCCTTGAAATCAAGCGTCCTGCTGTTGTCATCATCCATAATCCGAAATACTCTGTGGAAAATGTACAATTTGAGGAGAATGCATAGGAAAACTTTGGGAATGCTGCAGTGGTTTAGCACAGTGCCGGAGCAAAGGGACACCTTACTGAGATAACATTTCTCCGGGCAAACCAAAAAAAGAAACCACTTTTGCTGACAGCAGGACAGCAGAGATGACTTGATTAGATTGGGTGCCTGAATATTCCTTAGCTGAAGTTAAATGAGGTTAAACGAGGTGCCTAACTGCCTTCACTGAAGGAGTCTTCCTATTCATTATACATCAAGCAGTCTAAAAATTGGGCATGGAAATGAAGTTCCAGCTGGTCACCTGGGATCCCTCTGTGGTACGGGGCCCAGGAGGGGTCTCAGGCTGTGGGCCAGCTCCCCTTTCCTACTGGTGGGGTGACCAACACTCTCAGGGTGACTGCAGAAGGAGTCTAGATGCCTCCCATAAACTAGACAGCTAATAGACCATTACACGCAAGAGAATCACACCCCAAAGGAAAGGAAGCATAAAATCCCCATTATTGAGATACTTAATTATAGAAAACACCAAAGAGAGAGATATGTTTCATGTTCTCCCTCTCTCCCTGGTAGGATTTTTTCTGGGTCTCTAGGAAGCACCTTCCTCTGAGGGATTTACAGTCCTTGGTCCTTCAACAGGCAAGCAGGACATTCCTGTCTCCCAAAACACAGGAGGCCCAGGGTCTGTGGGCTGTGGCATTTGCACTGGAACCAGGAAACTCAAGTTTTGGTCCCTGCTTAGCTTGTGAGCTTCTTGCAGCTAAAACTATTAGGCTGAATAATGGATTTGACTCCTTAGACTTACCTGCCCAGACCTTTGATGCCTGCAGATCCCCTTGCTAAACATTGCAGGCGAAGTCTTTCCACAGGGTCGGTGGTTTTGGACAGGTTCTTTTTGGCCTGGATTGCCATCTCTCGGTCATGCCTTGCTGTGCCCGGCATCTGGAAGACCAAAGCACTCATACAGCGTGGATGTGTATCCACAAGGCAGACTGCTGAAACCTGCCTTAGTATATGGAGCATCCCAAATGCCTCCCTTGCAAGGTGCTGGCAACTGTCTCATGAGGATTTGTTTTGACCCTCTATTTCCTTATCCTCATATCCTTCTATCAGAAGGGGATATTGCCAGTATGGGCCACCATCCCTGAAAGGAGAGCTCAGCAATCACCCTGTGATTAACCCAAATGCAAATATGAAAGTGTGGGTAGGAATTTGCTGCCTACAGTGTACGAACACAGTGAAAACTGGTGGACACACCAGTAGAGCACTGCTGCCTCTGCAGCCCCGGCTGCCCTGCTGAGCCTCCTCCACCTGGCCATGTTTGTGTTTAACATTCCCCACCGGCAGACCGGTGAGAGGAAAAATCGTCCTGAGTGAGGACCTTTTTCTTATGTGTATTTATGTTCTGCTGTAGTCTTAATTCTCCAGAGCAGGGAGATGCCATTGCACATCTGAGCAACGGCGATCACCTTGAGACCTGAGCTCGTGTACGGACAACAACTTCAACTCTGTTAACAGAACCAGAGAATAAATTAATTTATCGTTTAGCATCCTGGGATTTCAGGACTCTGCCAACAGGCACATAAGCCTTCCAATTGCCCTCAGAGGAAGACAGTGGAATAAAAAGTAGGAAAATCAGCCCATGGACCTGCAGCACTGCAATAGCACCACCAAGAGCAGCACACAGGGGCTGGCAGAGGGTTGCTCTTTCTCACACAGGGATTATTTACACCTAGTGCTAAGAGCAGGAGGGCTGCCCATGCCCATACTGATGTTTTAGGGGCACATCAAATCCTGGCTCCTGAGCACATGCTCAGGGCCAGGAGTGCTGCTCCCTGGCCTGACTGCTGGGTCTGCAGGTCACAAAGGCCCCCAAAATATCTTCCAGCCTTTGAAGCACCACAGGACCAGGCCACAGTGTGTGAGAGCTATGGAAGGGCTGGGCTGAGTTACAGCAGAGCCCTGACTTGGAGGGCACTTGGTGCTCTGCTGAGGGTGCTCAGGGATGGGTAGATGAAGAAGATGGGCAGCTCTTTGAGGAGGCATCGTCAGTGCATTTTGCCCTTCCAATCTCATTACTGCACATGCAGCAGTGTGAATTGAAACAGTCAAACTTCTGAGAAACGAGGAATGAAACTGCTTCATCTTAACTACTCTGGTCCAGTCTACAGAGCACTGGCTACAGCAGCTGGTAACATCACGTGTGTTGACTTTTGCAACCCCTTCAGACAACACCAGCTGGGCTTGGAAAAACAGAAAAATAACATGTTTTTATTCCTCCAAAATGGTTTCAGTACTAGCATATCGCAGAAGTCCAGCATGGTAAAAAAGAGACCATTTCAGCTTTTGCTTCAGCTAGAATGAGCAAAGTTCTTCTGGGAACTCATTAATGAGTGACCAGAAAGACCTTACAGCTATGTGAGGTCAGCAGTCAAAAATGTGTTCTGCAAAAAATGACCTGTCCTTAAGGGGAGATGTTCAGCTGGCAAGAATATAAAATACAGTGAGGATACATAAACACAGTGCAAACTATATTTACATTATATAATTGTGTACTATAGCTTTTATATATAATGCCTATGTATCTATAGAGTGCATAACACATGCGTAGCACTGTGCAGTGTGTCTCTATACTATGTTTTGTATTTATATAGATCTATAAATACTATGCAGACATAACCTGAGACCAATGATGACATAGTACGTCTCCACTGCACGCTGGAAAAATCTACACAAACACACAGCATCCAAAGAGGGCAGGAGCTCTTTGCCTCGGGTTCAGTGAAGGCATTTCCAGTACATTGCAATGTGCATCAAATAATCGTTGCAGGGAGATTCATGAACTAAGGATAGGGAGGAATCATCTGATACGATATCTATTATGATCCCCTGTATCTCAATAAAAGCCACTGAAACTGAACAATCCTCCTCAGTTATCTCTGCAGTAAGTAGACAGTTCACTGCTACGCCTGGAACAATTTCCATCTGAGAACTCACCATCTCTATGATAAGTTGTTCTAGTATTGAATCTTTTTGTTTTTAAAACACTCTTTTTGTTCCTAGATGTGAATTTCCCCCATCTTTAGATGTTGTTTTACCTTCTTTTACTAGATGAAAGAGTAATTTGCATTTTTCCAGATGCAAACACTTGAAGGCCCCCTTTAAACACTCTTCGGCTAAGTAATTAGACAGAGCTTAGGGCTCTCGCTACAAAATGAGTTTCTAGATGTTAGATAATTCTGCTACTGTTCCTGAACTTTTCCCATTTTTTTCAGCATTCCTTTTGAGGTCAGACAGAGCTCTCCAATAATCCAATGTAATGCCATAGGCAGAGATAATGACATTTTTTCACTGTGCATCATGGTTGAAAACACTAATAGTAAATATTTCTGTTGTTCTTTGCAAATCTACATTCTCTAAAATGTTGAATAACAAAATTACCATCACCATGGTGCTATATAAAACTGAGAAATTACAGTTTATTTGTAACAAGATTGTACTTAAATGACACATTACACTAAAGGCTCTTAAACATCACCTGGCTTCCTGCGTCACACAGCAATACACGTTTGAGAATCCTTTCTATACATTCAATAAATACAGAAAACCAACTAAATATAAACACTAGTGCACGTGAGCCTGGTCCATAGTATGTCTACCACTTCCCTATTTCATTTGGCTGCTAGTTTAAGCTAGAGATAAGCCTTTCTCAGGCTGTTAAGACTATACTGTACTGTAAGAAAATATCTGTAAGAAAACAGATTCTGAATCAGAGCAATGATGGAGGATTCACAGTGATTCACCAAATCTCTTCTCTCCTTTCAGTTTGCTTTTGCCCCTTTTTGGATAACATGAAGTAATTAGAGATACAGTCAGGATCTGACGAGTATAACAGTTCTCTGTATACCTCATGAAGTTGTTATGTATTAATAATCATTAGTAAAACAACAAAAGATCATAACTATAATTTTGCATGGTTTTCATTCTTGTATCTCTTCCAAGATCATCAGATGTCTCCCATGGTGAAATGAAGAAGGGGCTGGTTAATTTAATTCTGAACACTAGAGAGTTTTGTTTTGCGTAACAGCCTGGGCTATGAGCAATTCCAGTACCCTGGGTTCTCAGCATTGTTTGTTTCTATGGGCAATGTTGTGCTGTTCAGGCCGAACAGAAATGATTGCATTTCTTCTTAACAAATACAAAACCTGAAATCTTGAGTTGTTTTTTTCCAGAAAAACCTTAGGCTGTTCAGCAACCAGATCTCTTTACATGCCTTTGAGCCTGAGGCTTAAGCCTTGAAAGAGCCTGATTTAATCGTAGCTACGTTACTGCTCAGCACCATTCGTTTATACGTTATCCTTCAGCTGAGCACAAGAGCTTCCTGTGAAAAACACCCCATTGTGGCTGATTGACAGAAACCCACACTAGCCTCCAGGTTACCATAGGCTCCTGAAAGCCCCTGTCCTGGCCAAACGCACAAGTCATCCACCACCCTTGAGAGGAAGATCTCAGAGCCTGGGAACTGATTAAGTGGCCTAAACCAATTGCACACCTTTGGAGGTTTTTTCCTAATAACATCGTTAAATTATTTAAAGCATGAAAACTGCACCTGTATTTGGCAACCATCTAAACACCTCCCTAAAAATCTGGCTTCCCAACCCCTCTGACACCTCCGCAGCAGCCTGCAGCCTCCCCTCTGCCTCTCAACCATCCCCAGCATCATCCAGCTCCCATCTTCTGGCAGGTGGGGCATTGCTGCTCTTCCTATTTTACATATATATATAATTTTTATTTCTTTGCATACATATATGTTTTGCAAAATATAGATATAATGATATACATATATTAAAAAAAAAACTCTACTCTTGGCTGAGCCGCAAGCTCAGCTGATCAGAGAAGCTCACCGCCAGCTAGCAAACAAGAGAGAAAATCCTTTACCTGCAATGCTATCCTGCACCTGGGGTTCCCACCCAGGACTTGGGAGGTGTCGGGGGGCTGGGATGGCCTCTTGTCCCCCCCTGCCTCCCCGCTCCCGGGCTCTGGCAGCAAGCGGAGGGGATGTGGGGCCGTGGGCTCACTGCAGAGCTTCCTTGTCCATCTCGCTTTACTTGTTTACACACCCAGCTGCCTTGCCCCCCCCCTTTTTTGGAAGGCCTGTAGTTTACCAGCCCGTCTCCAAGGTGACACTGGTGGCTGCGGCTGGCCCAACCTGCAGTTACACCGCTTCCCTGGGCGATTGCCGCTGGGTTGCAAGAATCATTTTAATTAACCTCTTTTTAAATCAGCGCCTTCAGTCTCTTCTCTGCCCACATGGGCTGCCTGGGGGAGGGTTGGGGAGCACCTCGGGCTGCTCCTCACCAAGATGCCCGGGGATGCCTGCAGGAGGCTGCAGCATGTCTGTGCCAGCATTGGGCATGGCTATGTATTGATAACACGTTTCTCTGCTCCATAGTTGATAGGGTTGAAAAAACTTCCTGGTTCAACCCTTCACTCAAAACACAATAGCAGAAAATAAGTAAAACCCTGTCAATTGCATTTCACAAAAAAACAAGTTGCAGTGTATTTTTTTCCCTGCTGATTAATTGGAATTTTGAAGACCTGCTGGTGGTGAGAATCTCTGGGGAGATGCTGAGATTGTGTTCATTTGCAGCAAGAAGAAAAATGAAAAGGTTAAACACCCATATGATGAGGAGAAATTGTTCTCTGTCTAGACACAGCTATTAACAACTCTGCCTGCAGAAGGTCACAAACGTTATCAGTGACATAGTGTAACACTTGGAGAAGGAATCAGTATATTGATAGATTCCTTTGGGGTAAAAAATAGCCTGTGTTATGCCTGGCCCTCTTGGGCAGCAGCGAGGAGGATCAGGGCTGGTGGCAACGGCAGCTTGTACAAGTCAACATGAAAGCGCATGGGAAACGGAGAGAGAGCCCAGTTCTGCCCATGGATAAAACACCGAGCAAGAATGAATAAGTGCATCGTTTCCTGACAAGAGCAGAAAATGATTTTAGGCAATTACTAGAGTAATAACATTTGCATCCTGGCAGGCTGCTTATCTTTCATCGACAGGTACTTCCTGGTACCAAACCGTAGCTTGTGCAAGACTTCGTATGTGCTTTAGATCTCCCACCTGGCAACGGATTGTACATTAATGCACAAGCAGGAAACAATGCTTGTTTAATCAGTCAGTGATTCAAAAATATTGACTTTCTGACAATGTAACATCCCCGCATCTGCTATCTTTGTTTTGTGAATTGATCTCCAGAGGCCTCCTGGGAAAACAGAAGAGATAAGGGGCTCAGAACAAGACCTGGGCTGCCTGTGCAGGAGGAGCAGCCCCTGCCGTCTGCCAGCACACACTGCAAAGGCCAAACGCAGACACTGAGGCTGGAGAAATAATTTTCACCCAACGACAACGTGGCCCTTGAAATTCAGCATCCCTCCCGAGTAAAGCAATTCTTCAGAGGCATAATTTGCATTGACTTTCAGAGGGGTGCATGTCAATGGGAAGGGCAAGGACAGGCTCTTGAAAGCAAAAGAACAAGGTAATTTAACATCTGGATACTTGGCTGCCTTCTGCGGCCTTTCCTGCCCTCTGCCAGTGAGCCCAGCCGCACACCTACACACGTGGATGTTCAGTCCACCTTCAGCAACCTCCTCTGCAAAATGGGCTGTGCCATGTCTGAGCTGGTTAATGAGTTATGAACCTGAACAATTATTAACGTGCTTTCAGGTGTCTCAGATTGCATAAGGGTGTGATTAACTCTGTTTGATTGTACCTGCTTGGTTACTGTGCACAAAGCTGTAAGGAGACCTCAGTGAATTCAGAATTTATCAGAAAGGAGACAGAGATTTCACGAGAACTTTGGAATTTTTACTCCTCATTTTCTAACTAGCTCTTAAGACATACCTGTTTGATTTTTCATTTCGGTCAGCCTGAACAGCCTGAACTCTCTATTCAGTTTGTGGTTCAGCACTGGACCAAATCTACTAAGAAAAAAAATCTATGATATCTAACATGATCTATACACTCACGACAGAGACCAAGATCTTGTCAACTTCAGCTTCCAAAAATCCAGATTTCTTGTTGCATTTAGGCAGGAGGGAAGCTACAAGAAATGCACCATGCCTCAAAGAAAAGTGAGAAGCCACAGGGTATTGAGACATAGTTTATACACACTAACACTGTTTCTTTATGTGCTACCTGTGACCATCACTGTTGAGTTCTCCAGCAGTAAGAAGCACAGGCATGAACACAGCCTCTTGCGTTTGCTAGGGGAATTAGCACAGTGTTTAATTTTCATTAACATTAAATCTGCAAGTAAGAACAAAAAAAACCCAAACCAAAACAAGAAGGCATGAAGTGTCAGAACAGTATACACCAAAGAAGAATAATTTTACAGGATAAACCTTTGGGTTTCTGAGTGCCATTAAAATTGAGAAAGTTTCACATACACCAAAAAAGAAATGCCCATAATAAGTAATATTCTCAGGGGAAAAGTATTTCCATTTTAAACCAATCTATAATCCAATTATATCGAACTCCCAATCCTAATAAAAGACTTTTACATACAAAAATGCTGTCTCCCTGTGTGGTTTGTAGTCCAGCTAAAATCAGTTGCGCTCATGATTGTGATCACACAGCTGCCTGATCGATTGCTCTGCCCAGCTATGCATCTCTGGCATTCCTTACCTTTGCCTTGTCTTACCTTACCTTTTACGCCCTCACTCTGCAGAAGCACAAACAGATATTTTTTTTTTAACTCTATGTCTGCTGTTAAAAGCATGTGTTGCTTGACAAGATTTTTAAGGTGATTTGAGATCAGGAGCATTCCAGAAAAGAGTGTAGTTATTTTGCAATATTTGTTCTTGTAAATCTGTTTTCATTTAGAGAATGAAAAATGAAAACACTGGGTGCTTCAGCTTCTTAAGAAGTTCAGCAACAAATGTTTGTCAAAAATCAGTTATTTTTCTCCTTCATCTTGAAATAATAAAACTTTGAGTTTAACAGATTTTATGCAAAGTGGAAAAAAACTTAATGTAGTGTTGGTTTTTTTATTTTGATTCTCTCACATTTTCAAAAAATATCAATGGGCTTCTGTCAACCACAGTCAATCAAAGCAATGGAGGTCTGACACGTATGAGAAACTTCTGTGCTCACGCCCCCCCCGCTTTCTCCAGTGAAGAAAACAGTTAAATGGTCCCAGCATTTAGCAAGATCAGAGAGGAGAAGTGAAGGAAGAACACAAAAGCAGTCTGCACCTTGCTGCAACAAAAACCAGAACAATCTGTCCTCAGCAAAGAGGGTGAAAAGAAGGGAGCCAAAACCAGAGAGGAGAAGATTTTGGTTGCTCTTTTTTCTAGGACATGGGCAAAAGCATTGGCTGCAGGAGTAGCTGGAGGCTGTGGGAAGGAGAAATTGTATTAGTTGAGAGTGAGGGGAATATTTTGGTTGTCAGCCCATGGAGCCTGTCTGACTGCAGCTATCACTTCAGTCTGCATAGTACCATTTACAAAATAACCACAAATAGGACGTATTTTTTGTTATTCTCGGGACTTTCCTCTCCAAATTACCAGGGACTGTTTTGGTTCCTGTCTCCAGAGACTTACTGGTGGCATGTGAGTCAGATGCTATTCCCCACCAGGGCACGCTTGACATGGCAGCACGATTCACCACAGGCTTCCCTACCCCAACAGCCACGTTGTGGTTCACTCTACTCATCAACATACTGGTGATACACCATCCATCTAGAGAGCTTAGTGATGTCCCAAGTTCCCTTCTCTCTACAGCCTGCTCACTTCAAAAGTGACTTTTGTCATCCAGAAGAATTAGTTATTGTCAGCCTCCTCTGCACATGTTCATCCCTGAGGTGGTGCTACCTTGGCGCATGAGCTGCTGTTGCCTCCCTGAAGATCTTCTTCATTGGGCTGCAAAGAGCAGATTCGTACAGGGATGAGTCAGCAGACTAAAGACCCAGAGCCAGATCTCAAAACAGATTAATGCCAAGTACTGGCATTTACCCTCTGCTAATGCTGCAGCGCCCAAAACCTTGTGTGTTGTGACCACCGTAACCTGAACATTGAACTCCTTCAAAAGTACCACTGCTCAAAGAACCCCTCCCACCCCAATTCTGACCTGGTCCCAGAAACAGGGAGAGCCCAACCGTATGTACTTAGGCCCATTTTAGCCACCAAGGACACCCCAGGTACCTGCATAGAGCTACACAGGACTTAACTCAGCTTTCCTGAGAAAGGAGATGAAGGGATGGCAACTGAATCAACCCTCCAGCTGCCCATGCTATAGATTTACTGCATTGTAATCCCTACCCTGGCCAGCAACCACTGTTGGGGTATAACACTAGGCATGCCTGTAGAGTTCTGCTTCCCCATCTACCCTCCAGCACTGGCCATTTCCCAGCTTCCTGAGATGGAAGTCACACCTACAGAGCTATTGTCCATGAGTGTCTCTAGCCCGTCTTTGAACCCATGAACACAGTGGGCCCTTGTGAAAACCTCACAGTAACAAATACCACAAGCGCTGAATTGTCATATCCTGCAGGCCACATCCGGTGTTGCATGCAGCCATTCAGAGTTTGGGGGATCCTCACTGATGAATGAAGACTGGAAGGCAAGAGGTCACACGGTTGGTAAAGTCCAGCAAGAGTGTCTCTGCCAAGAAGCTTGCAAGCATCATGATGGGGGCTTTAACCCAGGCTTGCTGATACCCGTGACCAAAGCCTGAGGAGAAGGACAGGCATGGGGTGGCCCTAATGCTTTCCAGCTGAAAAGTGCTGCTGGCAACCAACTCAAGTGCCCGCATAGCACAGATGCACGTGCACAAGAAGAACAGAAGTAATTAAAAGTCTGAGTATACTCCTCCTTTACTAGTTTCTTTCTGTTTGCCTTGTGTAGGAGTTACTTATAGGTTTGTAATTCCAGGCTAGATCATCAGACG